GTGTCTTTGGGCTAACACATCTTCTGATACTAACAAATAAAGTTTTGTCTTTTAGCAAATAACATTTTAGGGGGGACTGTTGTAGAATTATTAGGCCTCTATAAATCTGTAAGGCCCCTTTAAATCCTCTTGCTATACCTCTAAGAGGCCCCCATAGTTTTACAAGAAAGCTTTGTCTATAGAACATAGAATTTGCATGTCAGCAAGAAATAGCTTTGATAAAATGTGTATTTACTAAAAGCCTTGAAACCTAACCTTGAGAAACTAACAGTGCCAACTACACTCTAAATGGATAGCTGCCAAAAGGCCCCTCCCGTCGAGTGAGCTCCTCATGTTAGCAAAATGGCGCTAAAACCTGGAGGAGATGATCATGACGAGGATAGTGACTTAAGATGGTACACCCCATAGGGAGGGCATTTTACTAACATCTTAGCACCTAAGCCAATTAACAATGTCTATTTGTCTATATCTTGATTTTCTTCAATGATGTAATAATGCCTTTAAAAGGGCCTGCGAGCCTGCTTTTTAAACAGAAGCCATTAAACTTCTCCGAAGTTATTTCATTAACCTGAACTTTGTGTCTCAGTGTGAATTTACTTCTGCGTGCACGCAACTTTATTATCTTTAATTTGGACAGGAACAGATAGTCATTCAAACTAATTGGTTTGCAGTAAATTATCTACAACAACAATATCACTTGAGAGAACAAAATAGACCAAAGTGACAACCGAATTTAGCAGATGAGCCCTGAAATGGCTAAAATACTGAAGGGAAACAAATAGACACTAAATTAGCTGAACACGGCTAATAAAGATAAGGATAGAACCGAGCGAACGGCCCATGAACTGGACAGCCTGAAGGGAACAGAATATGCCAAACAGGCACAAATGCCTATAAACCCACAAAAGCCCTGCCCTGAACTGAAGTGTTCGACTGAAGGGGAAGACTACCAACAGTAAGTGTGCGGGCAGAAACACGCAAATGGGGGAAAACGTGTGAGCGCAAGTAACTGAACAAGATAAGGGAGCTTACCCCACATTTTTAGGCCCAAATGGTGGGAATATCGCAAATGTGACTATTCCCAAGTGGTACATGCATGTGACATGCCAGCTGCAGATATTTGTGGCCAGGAGAAGCTTCGTGCAGCAGCGAGGACTGGATCCAGAGGACTGGGGCCGGAGAAGACCACAGGTAGACCTAGTAATTAGCAATATGGACAGCAAAAAAGTGGGAAGGAATCGAGGAAGCTGAGAAACTGAAGTACAGGTAACCAAGATGACTTGAGACGGAACGGCCCAGGGAAGTGGGAGGATAGGGTTTATATAGGTCAAACTCCTCCCACATATACAGGCCAACGGCCTTAAGTATATATATAAAAGGAGAAATAAAGTGCATACACAGAATAGTGTCACTTTGCCCCACAGAACATATGCCAAGCCAGGTGCCCACTAATTAATCACATTAGGTTTTCCAACTAATAAATACCACAGTAAGTTTGTCTGTTTATTAATGGCAGGGCTGAATTAACATAGGGGCTGATGGAGCTGCAGCTCCAGGCTCATGATTATAGAATAGGCCCATTGATTTAAAAATAAATAAATGTTTTTTTGTTTTTTTACTACTCTTCACATGCTCTTGCTTAAGTATGGAAACTTAAGAGGGATGTGGGGAAACAAAACTGGTGTGAACTGACTCAAAATGAAATTAGTTTTAAAATTAAGCTGACTTTGTTCACTCTCTCTCTAACACTGCTTCAGTCTCTCTAACACTGTGGCATGTTCCCTTTCTTCTACACTCACTAGATACACGTTTTCTCAGTCCCAGACTGTATAACAGGAGCTTCTGCCTTTTAGTAAGAAGCCTAAGAGAGAAGTAAACCAGCGAGATAGTCCTTAGGAAATGTAGAGATAGAGCATAATAAGACATGTTTGCCAAGCTCAGGGTGCTGTCTGCTCAGTATGCCCTTGCTTGGTCATCTTGCATGATTGGCAGGCAGACTGAAATGGATTCACGCCAGTCTGACCATCTAATTCTTTGTGCAGACAGGTCCCCTTTTTGGGCATGTTTGTTCCTTTGGCGGTTCTGGTTACGTGATTCGCATCAGTGGCCCACCCTTTTACCTCGCCCACCAAAATCCTGCTTCGAAAACTGCTGTTAGGGGGTATGGATTTACTTGAAAGATGAAAGCGAGAGATTAGAAAAGGGTATGTGTGTTCTGATAGCTATATCCTGTGATTTTCCCTCCAGCACCACCTCCACCAGATAAGATTCTGTAATTAAGCCTGTCATAATTGTCAGCACCAGGCCCAATGGGCTCTTAATCCAGCCCTGATTAATGGGCAAATTTACCAAGGTATTTTTTAATCTGCAAACTTTCTCTGAAATGTATTAATACCACAATAAATTTGCCCTTAATAAATACCCCAGTACAGTGTGCCCATTAATATCACACTGATGCACAGAGACAACACATTGACAAATACAGACATGGAGTCACAATGTGTACTGGGCTGCGTTTATTTCTGTCTATGTCTAGCATTGTCTACCTGTGTATGAGCCTAGAAGTGAGCATCCTTCTGTTTCAATGTATGTCTCAGTGAGTATGTGTATGTTTGTTTCTGGGGCCCTATGTCTGTGGGGTAGCTGCTTGTCGTGTATTGTATTTATGTGGGCTGCCTTTGTTCATTGTGTTTATGGCAAAGCTATATTTTATGACTTTGTGTATGATGACTGTATTCAGGGGATGACTGTGTACAGGGTGAGTGTGACATGGGGGGAAGAATAAGTGTGACAGGGCGAGTGGAGGTGAGCGTGGCAAGAGTAAGGAGATTTATGTGACAGGATAAGTGTGATTAGGGGGGAATGTGGCAGGGTGATGGAGGATGAGTGTGACAGAGTGTGATGAGGGTACAAAGCCTGTAAGCCAACCAGCTCCTGGTTTAACCCAGTAATGACCATCATTTCATCTCATTGGCTGGCAGAACATCAGCTACTACAGGCCTTGACAGCTGGAGGGCCAAAGGTAAGTCATCACACTTTGGAATGTTTCCCTGTGTTTCCTGCATTCTAAAATCACAAAATCCTATTTCCAAAATCTGAATAGTGCCAGGTGTGACAAATGGTCAACACAAGCTTTCTGGAAATAGCTGTGAGCATCAGAGTGAATGAACAGAGCCCTGTGTGATAGCTCTATAGACAATGTTGCAGACTGACATCTATAGATAATTCTCCACCTAGACATTACAGGCAGCACTCTACAAACCATCACTGACTCTTCTACATGATAAATGCTTTTGTTCCTCAGTCAGGGGGTGGGGTTATTCAGTTACTCTTTATTTTTAGACATGGCTAATGTAGAGCAGATCATTTGAAAAACACAAAAACAAAATCAGGTTAAGGCATTGAATGGAATATTTATTTTTCCAAAAATCTAGCCATACAGTAAATTTGTTTGATTAGAGAAAAATTCAAATATGAATATATCTACAGTGTAGAAGGATGATTTTATAACAGTTGTAGAAAGGGCAAACAATGCATCACAGTGAAAGTGGCTACACAAAGACTGATTTTTCTGAATAATGTATGTAATTACCTTTCGTTTTTGTTTTTCATATCAGATTAGGCCCAATTTAATCACTGGCTCACATCAATTCAGCTAGAATATTTCCCAGCTCAGGGACACAGAATGCATGATCTGTTTGCACTATAATATGATGGGGAGAGATATATGCATTTAAAGTAATAGACTAAGAACCAGGTTGATTAAGGCTATCAGGAGATATTCTGCAACAAATTACTAAATATTTAAAACATACTGTTTGTTTCTATGGGGGTTGCTGTTTATTATCACTTTATCCTGAACTGCACCTGCTTTGCTCTTTGTAATATGGCTTTCATGGTTTATTTTTGCAGCCATGATTTCTGTGTGTGGGAGTGGGTGGGTGCACAATAATGGATGAATTAAACTGCTGTTGATTCAGAGCTTTTTTTTAAATAGAGCAGCATAGCAAACAATGCCTTATGTATAAAAAGGGGCTACCAAATAGAATCAATTGTGATTAGCAGTTCAGAAATTAGAGCTGACTGTAGCTTTCAATATTAAGCAGTAATATTCATCAATATTTCAAAATAAAATCCAATCAGGTTTTGATGGGGTTTTTTTTTTTTTGTATCTGGAAAATCATATCACATACCAGTATATTGTACTCAAGAGCTTCAACTTTAATTACTCTTAATCAGAAAATGGCAATAAAAAATAATAATAAAGTGCATGTGTGATCTTTGTCTGAACTGTCTCTAATTTAGCTAACTGGAAGCTTAGAGTGCAACAGGATGGGACAGAAAGCCAACCGGGCAAATAAAAGGTTAAAAAACAATAATGTAGCGTGTTCTATTTGGATCAGGCGTGCCCCCTTTTTTTAAATTCCCCAATTATTTTTGATAGTGCCATTTCCTCTTACATCCACTGGAGGGAGCAGACTGTGTTAGTTGCAAGAAATTAAATCTTTTAAAATAATCACCCCTTTAATGCCAGCGTCCAACGGTTACCCCAGGGGGCTTCTCCATGCTCTTATCTGTGGATCGGTAGCCTTGTAGAGTCTGTGGGAGAAGAAGGGGGGCAAGTAGCCCTTTGTGAACAGGGAGCCCCCATCCATTGCAGTCAATCTGGCATAGGGTGCTCCTTTTAATTTGCCTCTCGGGCTGCTCCTCTGTGAATTTTTTCAGGGAGTATGTATCAATGGGTGCAGAGAGGTGTCTGGGCTACGGGTTTCATGGGTCCCTAGGTTTGGGGGGGTCCCAGGATGGGCGAGAGGGTGCTTGAAATGCAGCAGAAGAAACACAAGTTAATGCACAGAGCAGCAGAGGCTGTTGTTGTTCTCAACGTGGTCCGCTCACCGAGTACAAGAGCTGCAGCTCAGAGCCAGGCGCTCCATTAGCACAGAGCAGCTTTAACGCAGAGCATCAGCGGCAATCCAAGCGAGGTCCAAACACCGACCATCATGTCCCTAGAGCTGGAGGAGAACATTCCCACCACTGAGGAGGAAGATGAAGAGGAAGAAGAGGAGGAGGAGGAGGAAGGAGAAGATGCAACTCCATCCAAGAGAGCTCCCAGCAAGAGGAACAAAGGGGCCGCAGTCACACCTGCCAAGAAAAAGAGCAAAAAGAAGAAGAACCAGCCTGGAAGGTACAGCCAGCTAGTGGTGGACACCATCAGGAAGCTGGGCGAGAGAAATGGATCCTCCCTGGCTAAAATCTACAGCGAGGCTAAGAAGGTGTCCTGGTTTGACCAGCAGAATGGACGCACATACCTCAAGTACTCCATCAAGGCTCTGGTCCAGAATGACACCTTGCTCCAGGTCAAGGGAATTGGGGCCAATGGATCCTTTAGGCTCAACAAGAAGAAGCTGGAGGGTCTCCCCGCTGAGAAGAAGGCTGCGCCCGCTAAACCAGCAGCCAAGAAGAAGGCAGCGCCTGTCAGCACTCCTAAAAAGAGCCACAAGAAGGCAAAGTCTAAGCCCAAACCCAAAAAGGAGAATCCCAAAAAGGCAGCCAGCAGCCCTAAACCTGCAGCTAAGAGCTCTAAGAAGAAGGCAGCTAGTGGTGGGAGCAAGAAAGTGAAGAAGACTGCAAAGCCTAGTGTCCCCAAGGTCCCTAAATCTAAAAAGGCATGAGGGCACCTGCAGCAAGAAAAGCTTTTCTAATGTGAGCACATTCTGGGGTTTTTTGTTTTTTTTTTGTTTGCTTGTTTTTATTTTATTTTTAAGCACTTGTATGATGGCGGCTTCATTTCCTTACAAAGACTGTGACTGCTATGCCTCTTCAGTGCTGAGGGGAACAGACTGAACCCATGTAATCACAGAAGGTTTCTTGTAATGTGATCAAGGTTCTATTCCCTCTGCAGCCACACCTACCACTTGATACAATGTATCAGCCTTTGGAACTTTGAAACAACTCGCAGCTGCTGATTGGCTGTTAACGCTGGCGAACAGCCATCACCGTGGCAACGGCGTCTGGTGGGTGGGGTTAGCTGACAGCTTCATTGATAAACTGCTGGAGTCGGGGTTTCTATTTAATTGAATTAAATGTGTCCTGGGTCTTTGGAGGTAATTTTGTAAAGAGAGTTC